ATATGTGTGTGTACTGTGTATATTTATTATGTATATATAAATACACACACATACAGCATATATTTTGAAAATATTTAAATATATACATGCATGTGTGTGTTTATATATACATAATAAATATACACAATACACACACATATATTATGTAAACAAAAACTTTTATTTTGGATGCGATTAATTGCGATTAATCATTTGCAGCACAAATATATATATATATGTGTGTGTGTGTGTATAAAATCAATAAATCTGATTTGTTTTAATTTCATACATTTTAAAAAACGTAATCTTGCTTGTTTCGCAGCTATAGCCATTTTTACACCATATAGTTTTAACTTATTACATTTAATTGTTTTCACAAAGAACAGATTTATACGGATTCTAAGCAATTACTGAACAAATGCATTTAGAAAATATTAAATCAAATCACACAAAAAAACCTTTAAAAAAACCTTTAAAGTCATTTTGTGAATTTAAAAGTGATCTAAGTAATCCAAGACTTTTGTGCTACAAGCCATGCAACAGGTTAGCGTGAGGAACAGACAGAGATTTGTTGTTATTCACCGAAAACATTTAAATATGTGCAAGCTATATCACTGTAAGCTTTGAAAAGTATGGAAAAGCAGCATAAAAGTTCTGATGAATATCTCATTTTGCATTAATATGGGTGAGTAAATGATGACAGAATTGTATACAACTAATTTAAATCACCACTGTGTTAAGGCCCGTTCACACCAAGCACGATAACTATAAAGATAACGATAAAGATATAGTTCTAAAAATCGTTCTCAGTATTAAAGAATAGCATAGCTCACACCACAACTATAACGATAACGATACAGAGAACGATATCGTTGGAATCACTTTCAAAACGATTTTTTTCCAGCTGATGAACGATAAAACACTGACAGCCAATCAGAATCCATCCTGCTATAACGAGCTCGAGAATTTAAAGCGGCAGACGCATGTGCGCTTAGAATAAACAGACGATATCGTTCGCTGGTGTGGACGCTAATATCGTTATCGTTATAGTTATCGTTCTTGGTGTGAACGGGGTTTTAGTCTGTCAGGAATAAGCTACAGGATGTAACAGTTCTTACATTGTATTGTTAAAGCAGATCTTTGCAGCCACCACATTGAAGGGAAAGTAGTTGATAGGGCAGTGTTTATGTGGACAGCAACCAAAATGAGGCTTAAATAGACCTGCCCAGAAAAAATAAACAGGTTGCCTGAAAAAATACAGTACAACGAGCACCCCAATAAGCTCCATCTCCACCTCGTCCACTAATGAGCGTCACAGTCTGTCACAAAATCATTAACATCTGGAATACAAAACAGCCCCAATCTTAGCCAAACTAAAACATAACAGCAATAAAATAGATTTTTAATAATGTTACAGATTAACAAGTTGTCATGTGATCACCATGTACATTACATAACCGTTTGGCAGCTTCTTGGAGTTTTGACCAGTTGACAGAGAAACACCATATTAAGATGATCAGCATTGTTGTGAGAACATACACATGATCTGAAAAACACAAGTAACATATGCTCAATATACACACAAACAGTCATACAAAATAATCAGAAAAGCTAAAAATGATTTCTTTACCTTTAAGTCTCATTTTTGGTAGCACAAAATAATATTCTGGGCTTCTCACAAGCCTGATGCAATACAATGGTTTTAAAATGCAACTACCAGAAATCACGAGAAATTTATTATTTTGTTCTCTTGTACTTTGGAGTTGTTACCTGTTTGAAAGTTCCCAGGACTATGGTGGTGTGTGAAACCTGACCCGGCAGGATCTACCTTAAGGTGTGGTAAATTTGAACCATTAAATCCAAACAAATCTAGCCTAACCTAACCTGTCAATTTAAGACAGATGAGATGTGTTGGTGCATGCAAACTGATTTTACAGTTGTGTGATGCCCTCTTGTGGCTATCTATGAGAAAAGTGCATGCAAACACACAAGGAATTTTAAGTATATCGTTTTATTCCTTCTCAGTTACACAAACTGTTTTTTTAAGTAGTCAGTAGTTCAGTCTCAGATAAGAAGGTGCAAATATGAAAATCTAAAGATACAGAATTCCATCATCAAAAATACTTCCCACCATGAACTGAGTAAATAGAAACACCATAATGGAGCTCTGGACTGCACATAATAATTCTCCATCAACATAGTCATATTAAAATAGTGGTGAAGTCAAACACTGCCATTAGTAAATACCAACACCAGCATATGAGTGCAGATTATTGTTCAAATACACAGAGTTAAATTTTACAGTAACAGATTTCAGTAAGGCACAGAAATGCAAACTCTACAGCATCATTACAATTGATAAGTCTGGTTTACAGTAAAATGCTTATTCAGATGTGCTTCTGGTGTCGGTGGCACTGTTCACAGTATCCAGTGGGAACAACCCTGAGATCATAAAGCTGTTTTAAAATCAAGAAAAGGTCAGGCACAATAAATACAATCATTTCAACAGACTTTGGTACAACATGCCTTGCATTGAGAAATTCAAGAAAAAATACTAAACAAGTTCTTCAAGGAGTGCATTTAAAAAGTAGTTCCAATATTGACCGAGTATTAAGCAATGGGCACAGTAACCATAACAGCTCTTTTCATAAGTTATTTGCCTGCAAATAAATCATAGTAACTTTTATCTCTAATGAGCATCTTATACCATTTCCCCTCAGTTCTTTCATGTAGGGGATTTTAGCCTTCCAATCCTGCCAAATTTAACCAGCTAATTTTAACTGGTTGGTGGACATATCCGTGCTGAAAAATGGTGGAACAGATATAAATATTTCAGAAACTCCTGGTGGTTTTTAAATGATCCATGTGATGCTTTTGGCCATATAATGTCACAGCATTAAAAAAAGGAAGAGAAGCGTCAAGGATAAATTATGCTACATGATTCACTCCAAAAGGTCCTGTGGAAAGAACATCCAGAGTAAGAATGAAAAGTAATTAAGTATATATAGTTTTGAAGGCTATTATTACTAATTTTAAAGTGCCATGCATTCTAACCTCATCTGAATCATGGTCCTCTTCTCTGGCTGCATTTTGTTCTTCCATTTGTCGCAGCTCTGAATATCTATATGTTACATTACTGTAATAAAAGTCAAAATTTAGATGTCACTTAGTAGGGACAAATTTGGCAACACATATGGGTTTAAAGTGATTAACTTTCGTATAAATTATTGCAAACTATTTTTCCATACAACATGAATGTAAGTTTAGGTTGCACTGTCAAATAAAGCACATGTTGCATATATACCTCTGCGGACAGCAATATTTCCGGATGATGAAGACAGCAGCTGCTATTGCAGCTACAATAACGATCACAACAGACGCGATTACTCCGAAATGGAGTCTTGCAAGCTGCGAAACAACAGACCGTGGATTATAGTAAGTATACAAACTAATAGAGAAGAGACTGACGCAAGAAAGTCGATAACGAACCTGTTGAACATTTGGTGCCGAGGTGGGTTTCTCCAAACTTTCGGACTGTCTGGATTCGCGATATGACGGAAAGGCGAAGGCGAACTCATTAAAAATACTATATAAAATCACATTTAGTAACATATTTGAGTAGTGGCTTAACTTGAACGACTTTCTCGCCATTATAGATGTTTACTTCCTAGTGATTCTACCTGTCAAATGACGTAAAGGAGTAACTGGTGTATGATTGGCCGATCGTGTGGCAACGCGATGACTTCCGTCAACAGTATACTGTAGGATCGCTTTAAAAAGTGAGATTAATTTAAAACCTGTGAATTGAATTATATAGCAGATATTCTATCATTTTAGTTCGTTTTACATATTGTCTAGGAACAATTTTATAAGTTTGAATAAAAAAAGTTAGGAGAACTCTGAAATGGATTCCACAATATGAGTTTATTTCTTGCTTACTGAAAACTTAACTTCTGTTATGAGCTCAAACAAGCTTGAATGTGAATTTATTACTAAAAACTAATATTACATCAGAAACAGTTACAAAAAAAAATACACTTTAAATCCCAAATTTCCATTAAAACCATTAAATGGTATGAAGGACAACACGCTTCAACTAATCCATACATGTAAATGGCTATATTGAATAACATGGTTGTAGATGTAACTCATCTCGGGATCAGAGCAGTTCATAATATTTCCCAGATTGTGGATCAAAGTAACAGTTGAGGCAGGGATCATACATTAAATTGAGAAACTCTTCTTCTCCACTGATGTTGTGCAACGTAGACCCTGTGGATACTGGATAGCATAGAGAAAAAAGTTATGATATATATATATATATATATATATATATATATATATATATTGCAATTGTTTTG